TCTAAAGTCCAGTCTACACGAAGTGGGTGCATCTATCTCAAAGTCCTCTCCTCTTCTTTGGAATCTCTTCCCCTCTTCTTTTGAAGATGGTGGTGGGGGACAGACAGCTGCGAATAGAGTCATTCCCTGTGTGAGAGTCAAGACCTTGCCCCTACCCAGAGGGACGTGGGGAGGAAGGGGTCTGTACCTCTGGTTTCTCAGTCCTCTCTATGCTTATTTCTGGATAAGCCTGCTCAACCTAAAGCAGGGCCCCTTCTCTCACTGCCCAGGCTCTGCATGCCCTGGTCCTCATGTGGCCATCCCAGCACCATGGTTCCTGAGTTTCTGAGGTGACAACTATCTATGTCAAACTGGCTCTTGGCTTTCTCTCTCTGGATTGGATGGAATTGTCCTGCTGGAGTGGGGGAATCCACAGAACTCTTTCCTTTCCAATGTCAGGAGCCAACCATTTAGCTTCTCTTTAGGCCATGGCTGGTCTTGGTTTCCCAAGGTTATACATGAGGGATGGAAGTCCACAAGGGCTCACAGTAGTATAAACACTCAAACTATGGCCTTGGAGTTCCCAGCCTGACACAGAGTCTGCTATCAAGACCCGAGAGGTGTTACATGTTTTCTTTTATTCTTTTATTTATTTTTTCTTTCTTTCTTTCTTTCTTTTATTCTTTTAAAGGTTTCTTGAAGTTTATGATTTTCTAAGGGGTTCAAGGCAAACAGAGCTGTTGAGATAAGAAAGCACGTGAGGGGCTTGACAGCATAGGATATGTTTCTTGTCTTCATTTTTTTCTTTTAATTAAAAGAATGTGACTACGTCACTTATTACAGCCTGCCTAGTCTACAGGGAAAGGACGAGAGCTGGGGGTGGGGGCGGGAGGATGGGCTCTGCCTCCTAATGTGCTTAGGTGTGAGCGTGTGCGTGTGCTGAGGTTGTGTTAGGTGGTGGAAAGGGCCCCTGCCACTCAGGAGAGGTTTTTGCCAGGCTTAATGCCTGGTCGTTTCCTCATAGCTTCTGAGCCAGGTTACAACAGATGGTGCTGCAGGTGGTATGGGGCATTCTCACTGCCCTGGGGACTCCAATACAGTGGTCCTGGAGGGAAGAGTGGATTTCTTTTCTTTTTTTTTAAAGATTTTATTTATTTATTTGAGACAGAGAGAATGAGAGAGAGAGCACATGAGAGGGGGGAGGGTCAGAGGGAGAAGCAGACTCCCCGCCGAGCAGGGAGCCCAATGTGGGACTCGATCCCAGGACTCCAGGATCATGACCTGAGCCGAAGGCAGTCGCTTAACCAACTGAGCCACCCAGGCGCCCGGAAGAGTGAATTTCTTAAAGAAGATACCTCACTAGAGGCCTGGATCAGTCTAGGAAAGACCCGGATGGGGGTCCACATGTACTGCAGTGGAAATGAAAAAATCTGGGTGCTGTAGGTAGTAATTATGCATGGCCCTGAGGGAGATGTTGGAGGGGATGGCTGATCCGGCTTGGGGGGGGGGGGCGGTGCTAGGCCACAGGACCCAGTGCAGAAGAGAACACAGTTGGATCCCTCTCCCCACCCAAGAATGCTCAAGGACTTCCAGTTGTGCTGCATCTTGACAGACTAGTGTCCATAAGAGAGGGAGGAGGGGCATCATGCCTTCACCTGGTAGGGGCTGCTCCATCATTTGCCATTCAATAAGCATTCAATAAGTACCCAACCTGCCAAACTCAGCTGGGCACTGAGAAGCAAGAAGTGAATAAGGCAGTGTACCCTCGGGGGCCTGAAGTCTAGAAGAGGAGACATAAATAAACACATAATTGCAGCAGAGGTAAGGGATGTGACAATCAAGGTATATATAAGGTGTCATGGGATCCCCGAGGCATGGCCACCAAGAAAGCCTGAGCTGAGTCACAGGGACTGGAGGTCTGAGTTCAGCCTGACTCAAAACCACCCCAACTGCTGCCCTGGGTGGAAAAAGGACCAGCAAGGAAGATGACCGCTATGGGCAGCACTGATAATGTTCCTGCCAGTGTATGCCCAAGGCTGATAAAGAAATGTACCATGACATTGGTCTTCCCTCTGCACAGAGCTGTCCGACACAGGGAGGGGAGGAAAGTCAGCTACTTCTTAACTGAAAAATTGTAATACAACTTTTGGGATCTTGGAGCAACTCCTCTGGGTCATGGGATCCCAACAATCAGGGATCCAGCAGCATGATTCTGGGGAGAAAACCAGAACTCCTAGGCAAAAGGAGAAGTGAGATTTGAAACATGAACAGGAGGAATGGGTCCTGCTCCCAAAGAGGCCAGCAGCCTTCTGAGTCAGACTAAATGACCCAAGTAGCAGCAGGGATGAGCCAGTGCCACCACTGAGTGTGACCCCAGGCAATACTGGCTACCTTCCCAGTGTGTCCCAGCACAAACACGGCCAACATGGATGCCTCCTGGGCAGAACAGGGGAGTTTGATTAGGATGGTGAGAGACTACAAAAAAGAAAGCGCAGGAACCAGTCCCTGAAGGGTGGTAGGAAGAAAGAGGACCCTTGAACTGGGGAAGCAGCCCTTCATCTCCAACTGCTTTTGTGTGGAATGTAGCTCTACGACTCTGGGCCTGGGGGAGATATGACAGTCAGTAACACCCAAAAGGTACTGGCCTCTGGGAAGGTCAATGTCCCAGGGACACCAGGACACAGAGAGATGCATCCTTAGATCCAGTCCCAGGTCCTGAAGAAAGAAAACAGTCCCCAAAGTGATGCATTCATCTTTAAATAGTTCACAGAGGCCGAAAATTTTTCTCCTTTGGAGGAGAAAGATTAAGGACAGAGAGACAGATATATTGGCTTAGGGTCACACAGTAAATTGATGCCAGAAAGGAACTGGGCCTCTTGTCCTTCATTGTGCTATTTCTAGAGCCTCTGACTTTTTATGAGTCTAAAGTAGGGCCAAGAAGGGGCTCTTCTCTAATTTGGGGTGGTGCCAGCTTGGTTAGCCAGGTCCTCTGACCCTGAATGAATCATTTTTACCAAGGCAAATGGGCCTATGAAGCCAAACTCTCTCCCTGGCTGCAACCTCCCAAAGTCATTTGTCTGCTAAAAGGGGGGGATGGAACAGGGTGGGGGAAGTCAAAGAAAATGACCATGAACGCAAATGTAACAGATGCACCCAGCTGTTGCCGCTGGGGAACACAGATAAGGGTGAACTTCCCAAGGCTCCAAAGAAGAAGCAGAGTCTTGGCTGATAGAGGAACTCAGAATGAGGATCTGAGGTCCCTGGGATGCTAATGCTGGCTCTGAGGATGGTATGTCATCCCCCAGGATGGCATGTTACTGGCCTGGCACATTCAGGGAGCATGTAGGAGGGTTCACTGGGACTTGCCCTTAGGCAGGGAGTTTCCCTTAGACCATCCCCTAGCCCCGGCAGAGTGGTGGGGAGTTTTTCTTCTGTTCTTTCCTAACCTCCAGCTGAGGCCGACCCTAGACCATGGGAAGTTGAGTAACCTAGTAATACTAACTCCCCAGCTACAGTAGCAGTCATCTGGGCCACGGACTTCCCCTAGAGGCACTGTAGTTCAACAGAAAACCACTAGATCAAACTTACTAACTAGCTGTTAGACCTTGGATAAAACAATTAACATCTCTGTGCTTTAGTTTTCTCATATATAAAATGTGGGTGCTGGACAGAATGTCTTCTAGATTTTTTTTTTTTTTCCAGGTCTAAAACTGAGAATTTGTTAGGAAATGACTTCATTTTTCCCAGTACAGTGGCTGAGCTCTTATCACCACCTTCTGGGATTTCTCTCGTTTGTCCCAACAGGCTAGCACTTACGCACTTTGTGTCTGTTCTTCAAACCATGGCCCCTGTTAACCTTTCCAGCAACTGGCTTAGATGCCTGGTCTGCTCCCTCTCCTAGGAAACACATTTTAGACTCAAGCTTTCTCTCTCCTGCAAGTCTGAACTTTAGGTCTCAGGCTGAAATGGGCAGGGATAATGGGCACCTACAGCAGCTGCTCTGAGTGTGGCTGGAGCTGGAAGAGAATGGGGGATGGGAGAAGGACCTCTCTGTGTTCTCAAACCCAGAGGAGCTCAGGGACTCTATAGAAGTGAAACAGAATTGAGCTAGCATTTCATGATCTGGTCCAGGTGGATTCCCAGCTCCAGCAGAGTGTTTCTGCCATCCCTGATCATACTGGGTTCCATTTTATGGAGGAGGGAACTAGGGCCTACAGAGATGAACGTATTGCACAGGTTAGTCAACAACTGCAGGTTGGAGACAAGAATCCAGGTGGGCCCAGTCCAATATTTTTTCCAATTTTCCACGCTAATCATAAGATTCTGAAAGGATTGCTGGCCTTTCAGCCCAACACAAGGTCCAATTTAAAGAAGCTGAAGACTGTCAGGCTCCAGGGCATGGAGTCTGGTCCTGAGAAAGGTGGGGCCAAGTTTGGGACAGTGCTGGGAAAGGCATCCACATCTGGAGGCCATTCCTGCCCCTTCTCAGCCTTTGGGAGGAGGGGGGCACCAGAGGCCTCCAAAAGGAAAAGATGAAGCCCTTTAACGCATCCTCTCTGAGGTAAGGGGAGGGGAAGGTCTGGGTTTTCCCCCTTTCCTTTTTTTTCTTTGCTGTTGGGCATCCCAGCCCCCAGGCCTGAAAGTCCCCCAATCATGAATGTACCAGTGCATCTGCTTTGGGCCAAGAGGAAAACCCGCTTCTCCCGCGCAAACCCATTTTTCTGGCCTGTCACAGATGCTCATCCGATGACCAGAGGATACCCGTAAGTCTTTACTGAATCTCTTGCATTACCCTCCTCCTCCCTCCCGCAACAACCCCTCCGGACTCGGCGCCAGTATGGTGTCCCTCCCCAGGATAAATTACCCCAAAGTGTCATCACCCAGAAAACTAAGCAGTGCCGTTCACGACGCTCGCCTTGAACCTGGCATCCTGGGACGCCCCCTCCTCAGCCGTGGGCAGCCCACTGCACCCTCGAGGGGTGCCCTGCAGCCCAGGTGCCCCCGAGACCCCCACGACTCACCCAGAAGAGCATGTTGAAGAAGAAGAGCAGGTATTTCACCAGCGGGCTGACGAAGGTGAACTCCTCCCCATAGCCGGCCGGCGCCCCGGGTCTCCGGGCCATGGTCCCGCCGCCGTCCCCCCGGGGGCCTATCTCCCCGCGGCGGCCGGCCCACCTGCGCGCCCTGCGCCCGGGGGCATGAGCCGCGCCACCGCGGGAGCCCGGGAGGAGGGGGGGCTGCGCGGCGGTGGGAAGTGCCCGAGCCGTGCGTCCGGGAGGAGCGCGGGCAGGGCAACGGCGCCGCCACCGGAGCCGCCGGGAGTCGCGGGAGCGGCGGCGGGCAGCGTGAGCCGCGGAGAGTCCGCGGCGGCGGGAGGACCAGCCTAGCCCTCCCAGCTCCCAGGAAACCGGGCCCGCCCCTGGCCGCCCATTGGCGCGGCTTCCGAAGCCTGACTTCTCATTGGTCGGTCGCTGATGTCACTAAGTGTCCAGCCATCCCTCTCCTCCGAAAGGCGGGGGAGACACCTGTTCTGTGAGGGACAACTTGTTAAAGGGTCAGTGGTTCTGCCGCCTCTCCCGAGAAGGGAAGCATCCAGGCAGCAGCTGCTCAAGGAAGGAGGGATGAGATGGAATGCACACTGCATCACACACCCGTGTCCTCTCCCCGGTTGCTGTACACATACTATGCAAACACACATACGTTAAAATCAACAAGTACGTACGTCGTGTGTTCAGCAATGCGCCGACAGCTGTGGGAATACAAGAGAATAGAGTGAATCCCCGGGGGGTGACAATAAAATCAGGGAGACAAAACTAACCTACATATAGCAATTTGAAAATATTTAAGAGTAGCGGCAATCCTGTTTAGTAACTATATATTTTAAATGCTTATTTCAGAAGCTCTGTAACTCACTAGTGGAGATTTGGAAGCATCACCAACAATCCTGCCATCCCAATTCATTACCGTTTCAATACCCCCCTTCCTATTTCCTTAGAATCTTGGTCTATAGACAGACACTGTTTTTAACATGTTGATCTGACACAAACAGGTTGAGTGTAGTGTAGGTAGTGGACATTGTGCTGGCTACCATAAGTAATACAAACACCAATGCTATTGATTGAATGTTTGTACCCTCCCCCCATTCATATTCCTAACTGCCCCCTTCCCCCCAGATGATGGTATTAGGAGAAGAGGCCTTCGGGAAGTGCTTAGGCATGAGAATGGAGTCCTCATGAATGGGATTAGTGTCCTTATAAAAGAGACCCCAGAGAGCTTCCTCACTCCTTCCACCGTGTGAGGACACAGGGAAAAGATAGCCGTCTAAGAACCAGGAAGTGGCTCTCACCAGACACCGAATCTGCAGGAGCCTTGATCTTAGACTCTCTGCATCCAGAATTGTGAGAAATAAGTTTCTGTTGTTCATAAGCCCCCCAAGCTATGGTATTTTTTGTTATAGCAGCTTAAATAGACTAAGAAAGGGATTCCACCTTCATCAGTTGCATGACCTGGGCAGGCAACTTGATGCCCCTGAGCCTCAGTTTCTTCAGTGTTACATGGGGAGAGTCCTGTCCTACAACGTTGATGTGTAGATTAAACAAGATAATGCATGCAAATCACTTAGCACAGGCTGGTACATTGACAGGTTCACTCAAGGCAGTATTTTGTTTGAGCAGAATTTAGAATCCAGTAGGGAAATATGATAACTGCACAAATAACTACAGCACATTTATTTGCTGGAGAGTTAGTGAAGATACCACGGCAAGTGAAATTAAGGGAGGAAGAGACTTAGAATAGAAGAGATGAAAGGGGAGGGTAATCTAGGTGGACAAAAGGGTGAACCACAGCCTGGAGGCGTAAAAACACACTGTGTGTTTAGTGAAAAATAACCAGATTGGTTTGGCTAGAGCATAGGGTATGCTTAGTATAGCAGTGGAAGATAACACTGGCTGATGCCAATACATGTTGAATTGAGTTAAAATCATGGAAGGACTTGAATGCCAGATTGGGGAGTTAGTGCTTCATTGGTTTGGAAATAAAAGGTTGGGGGGTTTTTTGTTGTTTTTTTTTAAGATTTTATTTTTAAGTAATCTCTATACCCAATGTGGGGCTTGAACTTACAACCCTGAGATCAAGAGTCACATACTCTACAACTGAGCCAGCCTGGCACCCCCAGAAATAAAAGTTTGAAGAAAGGAATGATGTAAGATCTGTTTTGTTTTTGTTTTTTTTTAAAGATAAGGACTCTTTTTTCTTTTTTCTTTTTTTAAGATTTTATTCATTGAGCACAAGCATGGGGAGCGGCAGGCAGAGGGAGAAGCAGGCTTTATGCTGAGCAAGGAGCCCAATGCGGGACTTGATCCCAGGACCCTGGGATCATGACCTGAGCCGAAGGCAGATGCTTAACCGACTGAGCCACCCAGGCATCCCTGTTGTTTTGTTTTGTTTTGGTATTCGGTTTTCATTTAGAGTGGGAAAGAGGTTGGGAGAGTAAGGTTTGTTAGGAGTCCATTATAATAGTCTAGGTAATCAGAACTTCGGATCTGATTTAGAGGTGAGGGACAGAGTTGATAGGAAAGGGTAGTAGTGAAGCCACTGGGAAGACAGGCTCTTTAGGGCTAGCTATGGAGGGGGCGGGTAGGGTTGACAGGAGCTCTAGGGATGGGGTTCAAAGAAGTGACTGAGACCAGGTTGCTGGGGGATGGGGCATTAACAGGTGACTGCTTGGAGATCCGTTTTAGTATAAAAAGTGTGGGTTGAACAGAGGTCATTCTACAAGAAGTTAGGAGTGAATGGGCAACCAAGGGTGCGCACCCTTCTTCAGATGTTAAAGGGGTGAGAACTGAGAAAAAGACAAGGTGCTGAATGTTTCTAGTAGACGGCAGTTCAGAGATCAGTTTTAGATCAGATTAGTTTTAGACAGGAAGAGGAAGACAGATCATAAGGGGTCAAGGAGGGAATGGGGGTGAAGTGGAAGCTGTGGATGAAGACTGTGGACACCTCAATCTAGAAATTTGAAGATTATAGGAGCTTTGAAGGACCTTAGAATGAATGGAAAGTTCTCTTTCAGCATACAAGAGATCTGACATGTATAGGAAAACAAGCCAGTAAAAATGGATTGAGGTTGATAATGGATGGGACAAAGTTTTGGGGTTAATGGGTAGAGATGGCATTAGGAATCAATGGGATGACCACAATGTCCATCAAGGGTGGACAGGATGGAAGTCAAGGATGGTGCCTTGTATAGTGGGAAGGCATGCAGCTGTAGAACAAAGAATGAGGAAACTCTCCATGTACCAAGAGCAATCTCCAAGATAAATTACTAAGTGAAAAAAAGCAAAATGAGGAACAGTGTATATAATGTATGACATTCTGATAAAAAAAGACAAAAATAGGAAATGACATTGGTATTAGCTTGCATCCACCTAAATAAACTCTGGACAGACACAAAATATCCTTTGAGGAAGGACGTTATGTTCTGGAGTGAATGAGAACCAAGATGTGAAGAATGAGACTTTACACTGTGTGCCATTTTATTTTTTCTGATTTTCGAAGCATGGAGTATATTAACTCTTCAAAGCATTAAATTAAAAGAAATCACAGCCCTATTATAACATGCGATGCAGCCATTTAAAGTAATGTAGAAAATATATATAGTGACTTGAGAAAAGGTCCATGACACAGAAAGTGCAGAAAAGCAGATTGTAGAATAAAGCATATAAAGTATCTGATAACCAGGAAAGGGCTCTGACTTATTTCAGGTCCTTGGAAGGCATTTTAATCATTTGGACCATATGATGTGGCCACTTAAACTGAAATGACAAAGATTATGTAATAATATGTAACATTTTAACAATGTAAGTGAAAAATCCTAAACAGCTTATTCACAGTATGACACATGTGTAAATATCGACAGAGACAAACCAAAGAAAATGTAAAAGTAAAATTTTTTGCACTGATATCTTAGGATGTGTAGCAGTGTCTAACTTTAAAATTGTATTTTATGTTATTTATGTGATTATGAACGGAATTAAAGTATCTGAACAATATTTCTGTAAAGCAAAAAAAAAAAAAAAACCAGTCACGTGGCTGGAGCTAACGTTGGCAAGAGGGCGTGTGAAGTAAGGGTGCCAAGGAGGAAAGAAGAAGCAGACCAGGAGCTTTGGGAAGGAGGAGCTTGAAGTAGATCAGGGCAGGAGGCTGGAAGGAAGGCGATTCAGTGGCCGAGAAAGCCCAGCTGGGGTGGCTGATGACTTTGTGGTGGTCCCAGTTAGCCAGGCTGGTGATTTCCTTAAAAAAAACATGTGGTAGCCTAGAGAGCCCACCATGAGAACTGCAAATGCTGGGAACTGCCAAAAGGCAAGTAAGTGATTCAGTGATGATTTGAAATATACAGTTGAAAAGCCCATCTGTGGGATCTAGGATTGTAAAAGAATTCACTGCTGGTATGTGAGTCTAAGAGAATTGGGAGGCAAATCTATTTAGTGCTTTAAATTTTTTCTTATTATTTTAATTTTTTATTGATATGTAACATACCTATAAAATGCATCATTCTCTTATTTATGTGCCCTTCTTTCTACCTGTTGCACATGTTCTTTTAAAATCTGAGATCGGGGCACCTGGGTGGCACAGTCAGTTAAGTGACTGACTCTTGGCTTAGGACCTGATCTCAGCATGGTGGGATGGAGCCCGCTTTGGGCTCTGTGCTCAGTGTGGAATCTACTTGATATTCTCTCTCCCTCTCCCTCTGCCCCTCGCATTCGTGCTCTCTCTCTCTCTAAAATAAAATAAATAAATCTTTTTTAAAAATTAAAAAAAATAAAATCTGAGATCAATATAAAACTATATGTCCAGAGTAACCACAGTTTTATAAAGTAAAAAGAAGTATATTTGTAACTGTATAGAAGGAAATGCATTATAATATAAATGATAATTATCTTGGTGCAGTAGAATAATGGTTGCTTTTTATTTATTTATTTTTTTAAGATTTTTTTTTAAATTTATTTGAGAGAGAGAGAGAGAGAACACATGAGACGGGGGGAGGGTCAGAGGGAGAAGCAGACTCCCTGCTGAGCAGGGAGCCTGATGTGGGACTCGATCCCGGGACTCCAGGATCATGACCTGAGCCGAAGGCAGTTGCTTAACCCACTGAGCCACCCAGGCGCCCCATGGTTGCTTTTTATTGGGGTTGCTTTCTTTAGTGAACATGTTTTACTCTTACAGGAAAAAAATGTTTGGGGTTCTTGTTTTCACTTTTGATTAGAAATGTTTTCAAATATACAGAAAAATGGAAAGAATAATCCTAAAACACTTATATTCCCAATACCAAATTTTCACACTTTGCCATGTTTCCTTCATCCATTTTTAAGCCT